GATTTGCAAGTCAGATAAATTACAGCAACAAGCAGGTAATTAGACAGATGAATGTTGTCATTTACAATGTTATTTATTTAATCTACAATCTTCTAGTTACAGCTGACTGGACATTAAGAAGGGGGATATAGACTCACAGGCTGTTTAAAAGCATTGTGTCCACAGTGCCTGAGTAGGTCTAAATTGATGTAACAATTTTCCATTATATTTCCTTCATATTTCTTGCTGTCATGCTTTGCATCAGCTCGTTGCATGTCTCTCACTTTCATTAGGCAGTTCCTGAATCGCTTTCTCTGTTCCCTGCTATGAGATTTTTCTGTCTCCCATTCTCTAGCCAAACCCCCTTCTTTATTTCCTCCCTGTGATTTGAAAAATGTCTCATCCCATGTTCTGTGCCGGAAGGTGAGTTTGGAAAGGAAGCCACAGGTCACAAAGCCTGGATAATTCACATACAAATATATTTGCACTAAAGGTTAGACACTTGCATCATCCACTTTTCTAGCCTGGGGTGCCAGATAGCTAATGTGTGCAGTAGCTAAATAGCAGCTTGATGTTTTTTTAAAGGTTACATTGCTTTTAGCTTATCTGCATTATGCTGGGCATGGTGTTACTGGCATTTCATGACACCAGCCTTACCTTTATTCTGACAACAATACAGAAATACCCAGAAGCTACAACATGATATAAGCCCTTCATGATGGTTATGCTTAGGGTAGCCTTACCGAAAATTGCAGATTTAATTTCTGTCAGAAAAATAAACTTTTCTGAGGGCTGAGGTATAAAAGTGAGCTCTCTTCTCATTCTCCTCTACATCTTAGCAGTCATTTGGCTCAGTCTGAAAAACCAAATGAGATTATTATAATAAGATTTTTATGTCGTATTTTATTCAACACTTTTTATTGAAATGAAAAGAAACAATACAGAAGGTAGAAACTTCTTCAGCTGTAAACTAGAGGAGGGGAAACCCCCCCCCCATTTTTGTCTTTACCCAAATGGATAAAGAAGAAAAAAAAGTGTAACATGCCCCCTCACCCCCATTCTCACTCCCTAAAACACAAAATTAATAAAAGGGAAAGAGCCAGAGGGTAAATGAGTATCTGTCTTTTTTCTATGTCTGTGAAAAAAAAAAAGAATTGTTCTTTTGACTTAATATCTGGTTCAGTAACAATTTTGGATGTTGTAGAAATTACCAACAGACTTTGATTCAGGCCAGCACTTTGAACCACATCTGGAAGGCAGCTGAAGGCCTGGTAAATTTAATGAGTTGAACATTTCTATGCTTCTAAACTAAGCTGCTTTTATCCATGTGGCAGTGAGAGCTTCAGATTACACAAGTGGGACTCTGCAATCTGCAGGGTTCAGGAAATGCTGTACCAGGGCTTTCAGCCCATCCTTCCTGCTCCACAGATTATGGGTCATTTGAGAACCAAGGAGATCTGGGGAGATGAAGCAGAGAAATTTGGCATTAATGTGTCACTACACATGAGAGAACAATTGTTTGTTTTGATTCTGTACAAAATCCCAGTGCAGATGATGAGAGCATTTCCTCCCCTGGAATTCACCAAGACTTCTGGAAAGAAAAACACAGCAAAGGACACTACTGAACATGATCAAACATGTAGTAGTCAAATAAACCACAATTTTGATTGAGATGGCAGATGGAGTGAAGTACTAATATGGCGGTTGTTTAATGTGAAATGGATTTTAAAATAAACATTTCCTATCATCAGGATTTGAATGTGAGGCTGAGAAGGAGCATCTAAAATTACATGAAGATGAGACTGCAAGAAGATTTGCTCATTATTAGAGTTAGGTCAGGTAGCTGGACCTAGAAGGAAATTGTAGGAAATATTGATTGGTGCAGAAGTAGAGAATCTCCTGTGGGAGTCCTGTTGGCCAACAAGCTGAACCCCAGTCCCCAGCTACAAAGCTGCAGCCACAAAGTCAAATCAGATCCTGGGCTCCATCCTCAGGGACACTGAGCAGAGACAGAGATGTGATCATCCCAGCCCATTCAGTGAAGGAGAGCTTTCCAATATCTAATGAAAGTTTATTTTGCTGTAGAATTGAAGAAGGAAACGATAAAGAAACACAGCCATGGCTGAAAATAGGTAAGAGAAGGGTTTAGGTTAGACAACAAGAGAAGTACCAAGACTGTTGTATGACTCTGACTTATGAAATTGTTCCATATAAAATGTGGCAACAGGTGTTGCCAAGAAATCTAGGGGAATAATGCCTTAGGAGTTAATACCACCAAATATATTTGTCTGGTTATGCCTGTTTGGGTTCAGAGAGAAAAGACCCTAACCCTAACCCTTTTGGTCCTTCCCATCCCTTAACATCTTGTCTAGTACCAGTGCAGTGAGAGGGATGCAGCCATCCTGCTGTACTGTGTGCCAGGTTAACCAGGGACAAGCTGAAGTCCATGAAGATCTCCCTTTAATGTCACTGGGAAGGTTTTTCCGCTGGTGCTAGGAAACAGCTTGCTTTACGTTTCAACCCCATTTGTGAAGCTGTTGCTTGGATGTTAAATAAAAATATGGTACCTTATAAAAAAATAACTAGCTCTCTGTCTTCCATTTAGAACACATTATATTGTCAGAATAGCACAAGGAATATATTGCCAGAAAGGGGAAGAAAAGAGCCCATGAACCCTCAAGGTGTATCACATTATCTCTTTTGGTAAATTGACAATGGTTTATTCCTTGACAAGGAATATTCATTCACCTTCTTTTCTGCTTTTTTGTTGAGTGAGTGGGCAGGCTGTGATAAGGGGTACTTAGTTTGACATTGCATGTATTTATGACCTACAAAACTTGATATAGACCAAAAAGAGTGGGCAGGGGATGGAAACTGAGAGCTGGCTTAGCAGCTGAATATAGACCTAAGAGCCAAGAAATCCTCAGTACTAATTGTACTGCCACTACTGATTTATGGAGTGTCCTTGGGCACTGTTAAAACTTAGCAAGGGTTTTGAGGTATAAGAGAGCTATGTGATTCTATTAAGATGGCATAATGAGGCTTTAATTAGGGAAAAATTGGCTCCTTCTCTGCTGAGATGGAATAACTATTGTAGATGTGAATATATAAATACTCTACTGAAGTTGAAAAGGAAGTTATTGTTTCCTCTGACATGAAATCTTGAGAATGGGCCATAGAACAATTTCAGCATTACAACAGAGATTGTATATAGCTTTGTATATGCCAGTGTCACCATCAAATGCAAATACACTTTAACTAATTTTAATTTATAATTAATTTTGATTGAAAAGATTGTTTGCATTCCGGGGCAATTAATATAAGCCAATATGTACTCAAGACAGGTGGAAACTTGGCCATATTTCCTTCCCACAGGGTCATTAAGCCAACTTTGACATTTTTATACATTTTTAATTAAATCACTATGATCTTTGCAGGCCAGTGTTTGCTCTGACAGTATTTTTAAGCTTGAAATTCAAAGGTAGATTATTTAACAAATGTGCACAAAGATTAGAAATTGAATCCCTTCAGTGTTGAGACTGCATTGTCTGTTATCTCTGTTTTGAGTAAAACAGATGGTTCATATTGCAAATGATGCATGAATAGGACTTCCCCAATGTGATGCAAATGACTCTGTGAAACTGGCATTGTATGGAGGAAAAGAGGCTGATGTTAGTAGAAACTTCTTGGACAAACATCAGTAATGAATATGTTCTTTGATTATGTTTCACCACCGGTTAAAAAGCAAAGCATGTTCAGAAAAAATAATCAGAGAGAAAGATGTCCTTTCCGAGGCTGATAGTTTCAGGGACAATAAACCAGTCAGCAAGCCAGTGCCTGGTGCTGCTGCTGGTTCCCATGGTCACCTTTGGCAAGTGCAGTCACTCGGTGTCTCTGGGTCAGCCTCGGGAACACAAGGGTTGCAGCCTCCTGCTGTTTATCATCTTTAAGATGTGTTCACACCGTGTGTGCTTGGGGCAAGCATTTTCCCCCAGTGGCTGGCACAACCACTGGATGCTGCTGTATTCCAGAAATTGAAAACAAGCAACAGTGAGATGGGAAAAATATTTCCCTGGGCTTGGATGACCTTCCGTGTGCACTGGCTTGTATGGAATAGATATTAGAACATAAAAAAGCCATTTCATTTGAGCAGAGTTTCTCACCTCACTGTTCCCAACAAAGTATTTTCTTGAAATACCTCATTACTACTTTAAGCAAATGAGGATCAAGTCTAAATTCCTCTTTAAGCTCCCAGTTTAGAATAGGCCTTAATAAGCTTTCAGTCAGTTCCTACAACTGTCAATATATGTGTTTCAGTGATTAAAACTAAATACATTCCCAGACTAGTGTAATGCTGACCAGATTTGCATAATCTTTAAAATGACAGATTCTTACAGTTTTTGAGGAAAATTCAGATCTATCACAAGAAACCAGTATGCAAAAATGGTTTGTATTGTCTTTAATCATGGTCTTAACAGTGCCCAACAGCCTTGTTTTAAAATGGAGCGCCCCAATCACCATGTTACCCCCTTTTCTATTTTTTGTGTGTTTTACTTCATTTATTTCTGTTATGGATCACAGAATGGTGTTGTTTTTGGAAAGTAGTTACTAAGTTATTTATTTGGGTGTTTGGGCCTGGTGGCCTATAGGTTTTACAAATTTATGAAATGTCTGAGAGAGCAGCTGCAACAGGTTGAGCTGAAGAATGGGAAAAACATGTTCATAAGAAATAAGACGCCCAAACTCTTGCTTGTCCTTCTATTTGCACATCAGTCTGTCTTGCAGATTTTGATCACATGGGTTCATTTTCATGTGTTTATTGCATCTACTCCACAGGCGCCCCAACATGATCAATATGTGGTCTTGCTATTAAGTGCCATAATTGATTGCCAATTACCCCCTGGAAAACTTTCCTTTTTCCTGTTCAAATCATGTTGTCAAAGAAGACTAAGCCCTCTGTCTTTCCACAGCTTCTCACTGGATGGATCTCAGCCTTGTTTTCTCTGTTGATCTTGATGCAGAGCACACAGGTGGAAAGACCCAAGATGGATCCTACCAGGAAGAATCTGAGAGACCTTGGGAAAAAAACATAACATCCAGGATCACCAGCTGGGAAGGCTTGGGCTGAGAAAGGATTGTGACAGAACATGTAAAAAAAGGAAGGTGTGGAAATTTGAAATTCTAAGAACACGCAGAAGTTTGGAATGCCATGAAAATTTGCCTTGTTTTAGTTGTTGAATATTATATAATCTGTCTTCTCCTTGCAGGAGTGCCTAATTCCTGTATTAATTACAGCTTTTGTGGCATACTGGGGCACTCCTGTGCATATTTGCTTCAGAGCTCACCAACCTGGAAGACATGGCTGAGGTTTGCTCCTTGCCTAATAGAAAAGTCTGATCTTGAACAGGTCTGTCTGGCCACTGTAGTGAGTGATGCTGGCAATCCTCATAAAATGAAATGTTCAATATTCTGTGTGTAGAATCACATCCATTTTCACAACATCTGGAATGATTCCCCTGACATTTCAGGGTTCTTTAGCTTAAATGTTCCGTGAAGTCTGTGTACAACTAACAGTTGCTGCTTTTCTTCTGGAGTGCAAAGAGAATGTACAGTTTTGCATCCATTTGTGTGGCTTCTGGGACTTTTTCTGCTTTTAACATTCTCTGGCAATGCCTCATCCTGAGTCTGCCTTTGGCGGCAGCCACAGCACTGAGGGGCCATGCAGGCAGAATAAATAACAAGGCAGTGCTGAGAGGCTTTCCTTGATAAAAAATTGCTGTAGGCTGGGCAGAGAGGGGCACATTTTTTTAGCAAAGAAAAGGCTCCCATGGCTGCTGCTGTAGGAAACGGATCCATTATTGTCACTCTCTGCTCTGGGAAGGGACAGAAGAACTTTTTGATTTTCTTTGGTTTTTCTTGTATAGTCTGCCACAGCAGCCAGTATTAGCAAAGCCAGACCTGTGCTCATCTTTTCAAGATATCACTTTTATTTCTGAATACTGATTACTCAGGCAGACTGCAAGGCAGAGCTGTGAGAGTTTCAAAAGCAGGGCAACAGATTGTTGTACTGAAGTGGTAATGACACGAAAAATGGAGGCAGGGTACAAGCAATCCACTTAAGGGACCTGGAAAAGCTGTGAAGAAAAGGATTGGGCTGAAAGACAGATGTTAGATGAAGTTTTTTACTCAGCACTTGTTAGACCACATCTAGAGTACTGTGTCCAGCTTTGCCTCCTGCAACACCAGAAAGGCACCGATGACCCAGAGCAAGCTCAGCAGAGGACCTCCAAAATGATTGGGACAGGAGCACTTGCCTTATGAGGACAGGCTGGGAGAGGTGGGCTTCTTCCATCAGGAGGTACAAGGGCTTTGGAAGGATTTAACAACAGGTGCCTGATGAGTACAAGGAAGTCATGGAAAAGATGGAACCAAGCTGTTCATATTTGGGCACAATAGTGGAGCATAGACAGTTGAATTCTCATGGGATTTAAGGAGAAGATTTTTCACTGCAAGGGCAGCCAGGCAGCAAAGCAAGGAGGCTGTGCAGTCAGTCTCCTCTCTGGGAGGATTTTGAAGACCCAACTGGATAAACCTCAAACAATGTGATCTGAAGCTTACCTTGTTTTATGCAGGGGCTTCAGCCAGATACCTCCTGACCCTTTCCACCTGAGTTACTCTGTGATCCTGGTTACCAGCCCCTCCATCCTAGTAAATATAATAACTGCTTTGCACAGCTCACTACAGCTTAGTCATCACCCAAAACAGCCACTACATGAACTCCTAACCTCAAGAAAAAAATGTGCAAGCCTCCTTGCAATATTATAATTTGTTTAGGAAACAAACCTTGAAATGTTGACCTCAATGTCTTCAGCAGAGTTACAGCAGTTCAGAGCTGTGGGGAGCGTGAAACAATGGTTTCAACTAAGAAATGTGTTGTATAAAGCCTGAAATCTCCTGCTCTCAGGCCATCAAGGTAAGTTAGTGCTGGGTGCCCTACATTGCTTAGAGGTCCAGCAAAGTCAAAGACTGGGGTACCAGGAGAAGTTTGAGATGTTCTTTTCGTTCAGAGTGTGATGGAGGAAATGGTGTTGATCTTCTCATGCCCTCTGGTTCGCTGTTATTATACATGTATGATGGTTCTCTGCTTTGAACCTCACACTTTAAGATGTAAATATAAACCACAGGGCTGGTGCTTTGTATCAGTGTTAGAGAGAGAGAAACAACAGCAACCAGCTGGAACTTAGCACTTGAGAAAACACAAAGGAAGGTAAAGAAGTTACAGAAAAAATGGTCTGCCAGGTTTAGCATAAGAAGGACTTTTTGAGTCAGAGTACAAGCAGATGAAGTAGTAAAAGACCACTTTGCAAAGTGAAAATAGGACCATTCATAACTTCAATAGACAAAAAAAGAAAGAAATTGACAATAGATATTTATATTTCGAGAAAAGCAGGCCATAATCCTATGCCACTTCAAATGTTTTCCAGTCCATTGAAAAGTTAAAAAAAATTACCATGTATTTAAGAAGAATGTTTTTAAATCACCAGACTTTCATCAAAATGTACAGCCAATTGCTTCAATCCTTCGGTGATGGTACTGTAAAAAGGAAAAATGGGTTTATATGGCCAACCACCTTGCTATCCTGATGTATGTCCCTTGCAAGATATGAGAAAAATTAACAAGATTTAATTAATGAAGATGTAAATAGATGTAAAAGGTGTGAATACAATTTCATTACAGTCAATATGATGCTGTTAAAAAACAAGGCTTGTCAATACAGCCTGATTTTACTATGAATTATGTGTTTGGCTGATAATCACTGTCATGTAGACATAAAAGATTTCTATGGTTTAATGTGTACTGTTTGCTGGCATAGAATAATCTGAGCTTTTCAAAAATGAGCAACTGCATGGCAAGGTTGCAAAAATGAGCAATTAGTGTCAATAAAGCTTGGATAAGATGAATTTAGAACTTGCTAAATGGCAGATTGCAAAGCTGTTGCTAACATAAAATTTTCTCTGAATGAGTATGTTTCTAGTGGCATCCCATGGTGGTATGTACTAGAAACAGTGTTGACCAACCAATTTCATCAGTGATCTGGAATTAAATGCAACATTCCTGTTGATTTAAAACAAACCTGTGAATATTACATATGCTGCTGGAATACAAATTATAATGCCATAACAACTATATGAAACAGTGCAGGGAGTTTAGGTGTATGAGTGTAATCAGATAAAGCTTTTTAATATGGCTGAGACTGTATCTGCAGAATTGTGGAAGCAGTATTGACAAGGAGAGTCTCAGAGTTGCCACAGTGCAAGCAGAGTATTCCTGTGATGCTCTGGCAATACGAGCAAATATAATGCTCAGCTAAATAAACATGAGATAAGCAAGCAGGAGCAGGGAAGTCATTCCACTGGAACTGAAATATTGCATGAAGTCCTGATGCAGGCATCTTGAAAAACATTTTGGAAAATGAAAATGTGCAGAGATGATTTGAGGCCTGATGAGTTTGAGAAAATGGTTTATTTGTAGAGGGTTTGATCTATTTATTGTGAAGTAGCTTGATAGCAGCTGAAATAGGGAAAAAAAAGGAAGGTAGGGGACAGTGAATACTTAATCTAGTCAGAAGATTTCATTCAGCAAGAAACAAGAATAGGGTTATTAAGCCCAAGTTTTGGAAGCCAGAAAGGGTAGTAGGACAAGAAGATCCACCTTTTTTTTAACACTGGGGGATGAATCTTTGAAAAAAAAAATTTAAAAGGGATGGTGAATCTGTTTCTGAATCTTCACCTCTATTAAGAAGAAAATGCCTTGAAAAATAGTTTTTAGTCAGACAGAGGTCACCTGATGTGGTAAAAGAAAAACTCCTCCAGCATTAATTTGGTTAAACAGACAAGAATCACTCTGAGATCTTCCCTCCTGTTACCACTTAGGTCTCAGAGAAGTCCAAGGATGGGCATGTGAGGGTAATTTTGTGCTTGTGCTTTTGTTTTTGGTTTAAATACCTAAAGCCACCTGTGGGGCTCTCTGTGCTCTAGCAACACTGGTCATACTCATCCTTTTTGTTGTATGTTGAATGGTTATCACAGTCTTTCTGAAACAAGAAGTGTCTGTGTCTGTCCCCAAATTCCCTCCAGGCAGGGAAGAAACACTAGGAAAACATCCTGCCAACAGAACTTTTTTTTCTGAAACTTGCAAGTAAGAAACAATTTGTGAAGGAGGTGTGAGCCATTGTGTTTTCTCTCTGGAAGGATCCCTTTCCATATTATTGAGACTGGTCTTATTACAGCCATCTCCAGCTGGCAGGAAAGTAATGTATGTACTCAATATCAGCAAACATCAATGAAATGAGCCTTTAGAGCCCCTTACTGTGCTTGAATCACCTTTACTGATGCAGTGGGATACAAACTGCATTTCCAATAGCTGTAGCTGATGGACCTCAGGACCAGATGGAGGAAACTGCCTGTGACTGGGGAGAGCAAATTTAAACTGCTCCCGAGTGCCCCAAAATAACCTCTCAAGCAGTCATGGTTACAGGAGCAAAAACAGAGCCAGCACTGCCACAGACATCACCCAGCCAAAAGTGCTCTTCCAGAGAGGCACTTCATCTGCCTGCATAAAGCAGGGCTGGGAGTCACTCACCTAAATGTAGGTCACCTGGGCTGAGTGGTGACCAGGAGAGGCCAGTGCTGAATGGGCACCAAAGTGTGATTCAGCCCACCCTAAAATAGACATCTAAATTAAGGCTCCACAGAAGTGTCTTCTCTCTCTCTTGGCTGCACAGGGAGTTTTCTAAGTGGCTCAGCTACAGACTGCTCTGCTGCAGATGTCTGCCTTCATTAACTTTTAGGGTCTTAGGACCAACTCAATTTCTGCCACCTGTCAGCACAAGGAAAGGGCCCTGATGGGCCACAGTCACACTTGTCATGTACAGGAAAAGGAGCAGATGTGATTTCATTGTGTTCCACATGCAAAAAAAGGCACATTCACACTGGCTGGTGAGCACTTACTGCAAGCAGTGCAGGGAGCCAGTCTGGGCTCTGGCCATCCAGTCCTTGTTAGCAATCTTTGGACACTGCTTATAAATCAGTGAAAGAGATTTCTCAGCTTTTTCTCTGCTTGTTACACATGAGGATGGATCCAACATTGGTATCAAAAGGTGAAATGCTCATTCCACTTTCCAGCTGAGGGCAAACCAAAAACAAACCAGTTCAAACTTTGCACCAGTGACATGTGGATAATACGGTGGTGCAGGTTTTCTGTGTTTTCTGATTATAAATGGCAATCTGAAGTTAAGGTAGGGCTTCACATTCCCAGAACCAAAGTGCCACCAGTGGCATTGTCAGAGGGCTGCAGGAGGAGTGATGGGCTGGGTGCTGAAAACAGCATTACTGGAAAATTTGCACAGAGCTCTGGGGCTTCCCGTGTCCTGTGGGATGCACTGCTGTTTTTGAAAGCTATAAAACTAGTCAAGTGACTTGAAAACATCTCATTATTTCATTCAATGCGAAAAATATAATCTCTGTTAGAGATGGACTGTGAAGCAGTATAACAAAAGCAAAGATTAGTTCAAGATTCCTGGCATTTTTTGTGTGGGATATAATTTTACTTGTGTGAGGACATTTCCCTGCAAATGGAACGCTGCAGTTGCAATGTGATGGAAAAGAGTAGCGGAATTTGCTAGACTAACAGAGAATAATCTGACACCAAAGAGAAGCCTCTGACCTGTAGATTTACACCGTTCAAATAAACGAGAAGCTAGCCAGTAAGCCTCTTAAAATGCCAACAGTGCTTGAAAAGGGCTAACAAGCGAGTTACCATGTAAAAAATGGGACTGTAGATGACATCAGAAGCAGCTCTTTGAGCAACTTCAGAAAACCCAGACTACCATGAAGTTTTACATGAAAGAGGACCTTAAATTCCTAAGACACATGACATGTCTTAAAATAAATATTTTTATCTTTCCAATACACATCTTCTGTCTTTCATTGTGGCTCTTGCTTTCACCTCTTGTCTAAGACCAAATTAAAAGCCAGTAGTAAATATCAGTTTTCCATTCTCACATGTCACATGGGCCAGAAGACACTGAGCACTGTGCTTAAAAATATTTTCAGAGACTAGACACAGAGGATGTGTGATGGAAAGAACCTGAGGACGTGCATTATTTCTGTAGTGGAATAAATCTTGCAGTAGTACTAGCAGAGGGAAGCATCCTGGTGGTGGCAGCAAATAAAATGGGACAAATATGTATGACAAGCACAGCATGTCTCAACCCACACTCTGTCAAGTGAGACCCAGTCAGCAGGCAAAGGAGGGTGCACACGGGCAAGTCAGGATCTGTTCCAGTGGAAGTGGATATTGGGCTGGGCCTTGTTACGTGCAAGCACAACTGATTAAGCAAAATTGCACTATTGTGAACTGTGGAAATTGCTAATGCCACCAAGGGGAATGGCCTGTACCATTTGTGCTTCTCCCAAATGCATTTGCTGGAGCCAAGATGCTGCTTGTGCATCTGCAGTGCTGCTTCCCTTTGTGCTGGAATTGTTTCACTCTGAGTTCATGCTCCCAAAGCCCTGCTCTGCCATTTGCCCTGTGTTCCTCTCTCCCCCCCAGGTTTTGCTGTATCATTGCTCTGACATGCCCACTATGATCATACCCGACATTATCCTGTCTGATTTTTCTTCCTGACAGCCACTCACAGGAAATTCTCATCTGAAGGAGGATTTGTGAAGACACCGTTGCCTCTGTGTGTTGTCTCTGACTTGTTCCCTTTTTGCAGTTCCTGTCATAGCTCCTTGCTGCTCAGCCTCAGTTCTCTGATGAATCTAATCTGCTCCTTGACTGAAGATACCTCCACAGCTGTTACTCAGCACATAGCAAGGGAGACAGCTCCATCTTATTACTCCCTTTTAAAAGCAAGAGCCTCGTGCAGAATGTTTGCTTTCTTGGGGGTTGGACTAGATGATCTCCAGAGGTCTCTTCCAACTCTAATAATTCTGTGATTCTGTATTTCTTCCCTTTTAAGTCACTCCTTCCTTTGCAATCTGAGGTGAGGAATTTCTCAGCCCAGCTTTGGACCCTGGGGTTTGGAGAGAACCATCATCTCTGTCAACTTGCACTCAGTCATCAAAGTCACCTTTTTAATTTGGAAAATGTGTTCTCTGTATTGGTCAACTTCAGTAAACACCTTTAATGTGACTGTATGTGTGTGTGTCCATTCACACTGAGGAAAGAGCTTGGAGGCAGCACTCAGAAGATTCAGCAATCTGCCCCCACATCTGTCTCTTTCCAACACAAGGCTTCATGAAGTCCCACATTTTTCTACAGATCTACCCCTTACCTGTGGTTTCTCTCAGGTCCACTGGACTGAGTGTCCAGCTCCTCCATTTAAAACCAAATTGTTTCATCAAAGGGTTTATTAGCAGGAGTGAAATAAACCCCTTCAACACCTTCATATTATTTCTCATTGAAACCCCTCTTTTTTCCTTCTAAAAAGGAGATGCTACAAATACATTTCCACCTCCTAATACCCCAGCCCTTGCTTGGCAACTTCTTCCTCAGAGTCAGTGGAATTTTTCAGTGTGGATGTGAAGGGATAACCACACTCCTCAGGGTCATATGGCCCCTAGCCACGATGTGCAAATTCCCCTCCCAGCTCTGCTAGAATGCTGACACTTTCATTACAGAGCTTGGAGTTGAACAGCAAGGGGCAAAAAACCTGCTTAGTGAGGTGCTCTGTGAACACATTTTTCCCTGCAATGAAGAACAGGCTGAAATGTGAAATGATCCTCACCACTTGTACAAGGGCTTACAGTGTAGTTGGACTTTATTTTTAGCTCTTTACCACTTTTTTTTTTTGGCCATTTATTATTTATTTCACATCTTGAGAGAGGCCACTCTTGCTCATCACTCTCTGAACTTTCAGGTAGTCAATGATTTCAGCTCATGCCTTAGAATAGATATGGTCCAATAAGCCTGACTACTGCTGGCAGACTCCCAAAGTTTCATTTGCTAGAAAATAAACTTAATGCCCGTTATTTTATCACCAAGGTACTTCAAGTTTCCAGTTTTCAAATTTGAGATTAGGGGGCATAAACAAGCCAGTTGATTAATTACAAGAGGTGTTTTGTACATTAGATTTCATTTTTCAGCTCCTAAGTAAGGGGGAAAACTTCCTCATCTGCCAAAAGAGTGCCTGTTTGTTCATGTGGCTACTGTGCATGGGAACAGGCAGCTCTCTCTTTGAAATTCCTGTTAACAAAGAGGAAAGATTTCTAATCTGGGGAAGCAATGGAGAATGAGCAGAATGAGGACATCCCCACTGTCCTTGCTGGTGGTTCTTCACCTCTGGATCCTGGATGACCACACAATGAACCAACCTGCCTTTCACATCTTGCTCTTTATTTCTCGCTGTTCATTTTGATGGAGGCTAACAAAGTCCCAGCATCAAATGAGCACAGCCAGAGCTCATCTTCACCAGAGGGAGGTGGGGAAAGCCTGTCTCCTGCTTTCCATGAAGGCACACTCACCTATAGCAACACCAGTGATTCCCAGGATCTGTGTTGTTCCCTTGCTGCCTTTGTAATGGTCTCTCACCCCGGGCTGCTCAACCTGCCCACACCTGTGGCAAACTCAGCCTAAGCCTGGCATTAGAAAGGGCATCACAGGAATCCTTCAGTGTCTGCCAGGTTTGTGTCAGAGATGCCAGGGTCCTTGTCTCTCCCTCCTAACGTGGGGCTCCCCAACTCCTGATAGTACTGACTTCATGGGGCTGGGACACCTTTCCTTTCCATGCAGGAATGCTGTCCTTGCAGCTGAGTCTGTGTCTGCTGCCCTTCCTCCATCTCACCAGCAAAGGTCCCCCTCTCTTAAAGAAACCCCAGCCCCAGACTGAGAGATACAGAAGGAGAAGGGAGGAGTAGGCCTACAAAGGTTTCATCTCTGGCACCTCTCTAACAGCATCCTATCAATTTCAGCGACTTTTTCCAGCATTTCCCCATGGACAGAAGTTTTTAGCTGGCTTGTAACAAGATAATTTTTTCACTAAGTGAAATTGGTCTTGCTAGCAGAAACAGAAGCAGTGGCAAATTACATCTGCTAATTCCTATCCCTGCATCATTCCCAAGTGGCTAAAAGCTCTGAGTGCAGAAGACAGCAGGGAAGGGGGAAGGGTAACTAAGTGATGCCACAAAAAATGAAAGCTATCTTGAAACAGAACATTACAGTATAATTGAAAGCAGCTGCACTTTTTAGTTTAATGCCCATCCTAGATACAAAATGAAAACAGTAGCTACAATTGTAATGAAATAAAGGCTTAAAACAGTCCTAATTAAGAGTGAGATCTCACATATCACAGACCTGGTCTTCTCCTGGCTTCTGGAGAAAGGAACAAGGGTCACTTGGCACTTGCCAATGTCATATCCTGACATTCTAAAAAGTTCTAGTAATATACCATTCTAAGACTACAGTAGCTACAAAAGGTGACTGAAAATGCTATGAATGACCAAAAGTTAAAAGTTGGAGATCTCAGAATAGATTAATGGTCTATCCATAAGGGTGGGACATAAGTAGAAATCTCAAGTACCTGAAAATGAATGAAGTAAATAAAGTTCTAAATCAAAGAAGAGCTTGCAGTAAAACCCGTTCTCCCCTCCAACACCCCACCCTGCTCTGCTGACAAAAATGCCCGAAACCCATGCACACTGAAAAAATGCTATGTCCTCTAAAGCAAGGCAACAAGCTAGACATGGAAGACCATGGAAATGAAGACAGTGCATCCATTTTCAAGAGTTTTCATGACTGATGATGACAGGTCCTTTCCTGGCTGTGAGTGGTAGAAGAAGGAACTAATAATTTTCTTTGGCTTTTCTCAGGCATACGGAAAATAAGGCAATGAAGCATAGATAATATGGTTTGGCAAGTGACTTCTCTGGATATTCAGTAGGACAGATCTTTAGCTGGCATATATCAGCATAGGATCATTGCCTTCATATTAATTTAGCATCTGCCCCAGTTTATTAATACTTCTGTTGCTGTTCTTTCTTAATGGACATTCATACATATCCTAACAAAGAAATCCCCAAAGGAGCTGTCTTAAATCAATGGAGCAAAACAATTTACCCCAATAGTGGAAAAAATATTGGAATGCTATTCAAGAATTCCAAAACAATGTAAGTAAATCAGCCTGGGATTTGTTAGAAAGAAAAATGAAGATTCAGGGCAAGGCTAAATTTATTTCTGCCAGGACATAGCTGCCCATTCTTATACCTCTAGCCTCTATGCTTGTATGCTTTTGTCTACTAAACTAAATCCAGTGCTAGTGTCCAAAATCACTCCCCAATACAAGGACTGCCTAAATCAGATTAACCATCACAGAGCAAGCATGTATCTAATCCTTTGCTGGGATTCTTTTATTGATCACAACTATTTCTTTGTTCAGTGTTCTGTCCAAATATATTCTAAATATAACATACAGTGCTTGGTGTTACATATGAGGAATGGCAGGGGGGAGAGGGGGTTGTCTTACCTCTCAGTCAGCAGCTACTAGCTCAACATATTCTTGACCATCTGATTGCCTCTCCTTGGGCCTGAGAGTATTTCCCCCCACAGGCACTGAAATCTGTACATTTGGAAGCCATAGCAGTAGGAATAAACCCTATCATTGTTTCTTTGCATATTGAAACTTGCCTCAAAGGTCCACATCTGTCTCCCCTGTTTATTACCTACTTAACTATTGGCTGTTCTCTGGCTCTCCTGTCCTTCAGTCCACTGGCAATTCATCTGTTCTTAATGAGGTGTCAAAAATGATTGATAATGCCTCTGTAATTATCTCTGCCTGCTCTTTAAAAACATTCAGGTGAGACTATCTGTCCTTGCTCATATGTGAGCATTTAGTTTGTCACCATCATTTTCTTTGTTCTTTTTCACCAGCCCAAACAACTGCTTCCTTAACTGTTTTCTCACTTTCCCACCAACTGAATCAAAAGTACAGCTCCAAATGCAAAGCAACAAATTCTGTACTTGCACATATCTTGCTTGTGGAGTCTCAGTGAGATCAGTGATAAGTGCAAGATACAAATCAGAGCTCATGTTAGCCTTAGAGAAATGTGCGGTATGCTTCAATCTACTCCTGGTTAATATGTTTGGATCCCAAATTGGCTTTGATTCCTGTGCTTTCATCTGATGTGCCAGTCTGGGGGCCAAGTTTCTGTATTAGAAGACAGATTTTACTCTTTAAGGGGGTAGCCTCTGAAGGCTTTTGGTTGAACTCCATGCCCAAAGCAGATGGCAAAGTCAGTTGTACAACCAAGGACCTTAATTAGGTGTGGATGAATGCTATAGAGCACCTATATTGCAATGAAAAGATAAAATTATTTGCTTTTGAGGTACACAGGGACATTTCATCCATTTATTCAGATTATGGTGCCTTGGAAATCATTACAAATTAAGACAGAGGAATGACCAGGACTGATAAAGCCTGTTTTCATTGAAAAATGAGTGTAAAATAAATGCTGATGTAGAGAATGTCAGGAAATTTATTGTGAATTTTGTCTTCTTAGGAAAGATTTAGTGCATTCTAACAAACAAAAATTAATTTTCTGCAGGTACCCTTGATTGTAGGTAAGAATCATATGACTGCACCATTTTTCCCACTGATTTTTTAGGAGTGTAAAATAAATTACAAATTGAAGGCAATGAAACTGAACAGCAAAAGGTACATGACGTAATTTTAAAAGTATCATTATAATTCTTCCTACAGACTTTGGTGCACAGATGCACCCATCATATAGATAGATAGATAGATAGATAGATAGACAGATGGATAGATAGGTAGATAGATAGATAGATAGAGAGATAGATAGATAGATAGAGGGCTTTTGGTTTGTTTTTTTTTTTTTAAATATATATATATATACCAAGGCATATATAGTGAGCTCTTCATCCTGGTATTAGAGAGGAGGCTCCACTGAGCATATTTATTGGGTACTCCTCAAGAAGTCTGGTCTCACCCAATCTTAGACATCTAAAGCAAAGACTTTTTTAATAAATAATTACTCCCTGTACTCTCCTTCCAGTCAATGGAAAAAACAAAACATGGCCTATCTCTCACTTAGGTATCGCCTTCACAAGAGGAGGAATTGTACTCTAAATTGTGTCTTTTTCTCCCACTTGGGAGATAACTCCACTTCAGCCAAAGGATCCCTTCAGATTTTTCTTCCTCTGCATTCCCTCGGATTTGATGAAAAATCTGGCCTGGTCATATAAAGATGGGTTTCTCCACAGTTGTTTCAGAAGTCTGCTTAAGGTCAGAAGAGAGATTTGGACAAGAGACTAATGGTATGGGTTTTATTGCCTTACTTGTGGAATAGGAGAGTTTCTACTGGTATGAGATGAGAGCACAGCCCCTAGCACCCTTGCTGCCGTTCTGAAAGGGAATCAGTACTAGAGCATGTCCTGCTGTTTCTTCTGGCTCAAGCCTAATGAAATGTGCACTAAAGTTTATTAAACTGATCCTTCCATCTGTTCCTTTTAAGATCTGTTTTTGCAGTTCTGATGGAGTGCTGTGAAGAAGGGCTACAGTTTCACTGGCATCATTATTTTTTTATTAAGTTCGCCCACATCATGCAGTAATTGGGTTTCCTGATTTGGAATTCTGAAGGTTCTCAATATTCTTTCAACCTGTCTATCATGCTAATGTCCATAGCAAAGACATCTTCTCCAGCCACTGGCACAGATTGTTATGCACCCTGCACTTCAGGCCTAGGCAAGTTCCCTTCTATCCCAATCCAGTTATCCTGGCACAGATGGATTCTGCAGCTATTCTAACTGTCAATCGGTTAGAAGAAAAGATCTAATGTTGGCACCAATGAGAATTTTACATACATACCACTTTTTGTCCCCAAACTGGAGAAAGCACACTAAACTACCCTTGCTGGTTGGGAGGATGACATCCTGAAAACAGGATGCTGCTGTGCACATTACTCTGCATAGGGAGTGGGACCAGCCCAAAGTGAACAGCTTCCAGTTTGGGCAATTTTTGTGATCAGAGTGATGAGCTCTATACAGGTATCCATGCTGGAAACATAAACATGTATGTACAAAGCACTGAAAAGATTATTTTTCAACACATGAAGAACCTTGTCTAAAAGAAAGCCAGAATGCTTTATTCACATGAAGCCAGGCCTGGAAACATGTTTATTCAGGACAGACATTTTAAATCCCATTTTCAATGCACATATCACATGGTGGTTTTGCTTATTTTCTTTTCTCTTTTCTCTCCTTTTCCCTTCCCTTCCCTTCCCTTCCCTTCCCTTCCCTTCCCTT